AGAAAGTAAATGAGACTTGTGTATGTATTCATCACTCTACATCAACGTCATTGACTACGAGGAAGCAATTGATAGCGTGGACAAGACAACACTACGGCCTACCTGAGATAATTAACGTTAAACTGCAAAGTCGTGCATGGAGAACAGCTCGCAGACTCGTTCATGAAAAGACCGATATCAGGCAAGGTTGCTTACTCTCACCCTTTCTCTATCTCCTGGTGATCGACTGGATCATGAAGATGTCAACATCTGAAGGGAAGCACGTGATACAGTGGACATTTAGGATGCAGTTGGACAATCTAGACTTCGCAGATTATCTGGCCCTTCTATCCCAAACGCAACAACAAATGCAGGAGAAGACGAACAGTATAGCAGCAGCCTCAGCAGCAGTAGGTCTCAATATACACAAAGGGAAAAGCAAAATTCTCCGTTACAGCACAGCATGCACTAATCCAGCCACAATTGACGGAGAAGCTTTGGGAGGTGTAAAAAGCTTTGCATATCTGAGCAACATCATTGATGAACACGGTGGATCTGATGCAGATGTGAAGGCACGGATCGGAAAAGCAAGAACAGCATATTTACAACTGAAGAACATCTGGAACTCAAAACAACCGTCAACCAACACCAAGGTCAGGACTTTCAATACAAATGTCAAGACAGTTCTACTGTATGGGACGGAAACCTGGAGAACTACGAAAGCCATCATCCAGAAGATACAGGTGTTTATTAACAGTTGTCTACGCAAAATACTTCAGATCCATTGGCCGGACACTATTAGCAACAACGTACTGTGGGAGAGAACAAACCAGATCCCAGTGGAGGAAGAAATCAGGAAGAAGCGCTGGAAGTGGATAGGACACATATTGAGGAAAGCACCCAACCACGTCACAAGTCAAGCCCTCATATGGAATCCTCAAGGCCAAAGGAGAAGAGGAAGACGAAAGAAAACATTACGCCGGGAAATGGAGATAGACATGAAAAAAATGGACAATAATTGGGTGGAACTAGGAAAGAAGGCCCAGGACAGAGTGGGATGGAGAATGCTGGTCGGCGGCCTATGCTCTCTTGGGAGTAACAGGCGTAAGTAAGTAAGTAAATAATTGGTCAGTCATATGCAACGTACAGTCCGGCAAAAAATTCCCTTCGACCCAAGTTGTTTGATTTCACATCTATACAATGAGTTCGAATTTAAAAACAAAGGAGTTGAAATAATAAAGTTGGTCATGGAAATTAGGTTGGTAATATAGTTGGAAACAATCAAGTTGAATCAAAGAATGGAAAGTATAGATAAACAGACCAGTGTCTGGAGAAATATAATAAATAAATAAATCTGCAACCCTCCAACTGGTGTTAAAAGATGTAAGCCATTGTAAACATCTCAGCATTCATTGGTTCACTCAGTTTAAACGGATTGAAAAACTAATAATAAATATATATTTTTTATATCACGATGAATAGAAAAATTGTATTTCTGACGTTTCGTAGCTTTATTTGAGCTGCTTCTTTAGAGTAAAACGGTATCGTTCCCCATTGTTAAATTCTGCTATCTGCTTTGCCTATTTGTTCTGATTACTAGAAATTTTACCCTAGAAATAGATTGCATTATTCTGTTTTTATGGATTCTTAAACAGTTTATGTGTGGTTTTTTTGAAGTTCCATGGTTTCGTTCATCTTCCACAAGTCACTTCAAATCTCGACTGTGAAATCTTAGTAATGTAGCCCGTCAAAATACTAACTCTTTGTGTCTATTTAGATGAACTATTGAAACTGTTCGACCAATTAATTAGTAATAAAGTAGTTGTGATCGCCTAACAGACTTTTTCATTATCGGACAAGTCATAATCTATAGTATCAACGTGTTTAAAAGCCGGGAAAATAGCAATGATTAACGTTCAGAAACGAATCGACAGAGGTTAATAGTCGCCAGTTATCGGATTCTGGTTCATTGATTTTCTATACCATGGGGCTTACCTATTTCCGTTTGATTACTAGATGATATCTACTATTATCAGTTATCACTGTACTGATTATTCATCAGTTCTAACATTAGGAATCATGAACGTGGTCCTTCAGAACTACTTGTCTTTTGACATTATAGCAGAAACGTGTTGTTTGTTTTTACAATGGTCCGTCGGGAAATGGAGATAGACATGAAAAAAATGGACAATAATTGGGTGGAACTAGGAAAGAAGGCCCAGGACAGAGTGGGATGGAGAATGCTGGTCGGCGGCCTATGCTCTCTTGGGAGTAACAGGCGTTAGTAGGTATGTGTGTATGTTAAGACTTACTGATGAAAAGGCTGGTGCTAAACTATCTGTCTTCACCTGCAAACGTTCGTGTGTATGGGATAGGAGAGCTAGGTCGTTTGCAAAGTCCCAATTGTCAAGTTACATCCAACCTGTCCATTTTATTCTGCACTTCCCCCCAGATATAAAGGTCTTCATAATCCACTCAACCACCAGAAGAAAGACAAACGAAGAGAGTAAGCAGCTTTTTTCAACTCGTTTTCACTTGGAATGTACCTGTCAACTATCCTCCATGCACCACTTTGCAGTGTAGCCGTCGTATGAATTCCATGTGCTGTTGACGATCTTCTCAGGTACAGCATAGTGTCGAAGGTTCTCTTATCCACGCTGTCAAATGCTTTCTCGTAGTCAAGAAAGTTGATGTATAGTGATAATTTCTATCCAATTGATTGTCCAACAATGATCCGTAGTGTCGCGATTTCTTCGGTACACGGTCGATCCTTACGAATCCAGCATGTTGATCTGTAAGGTGGGGATTCACTGAGTTTCTCATTTGGTTCAGCAGCACTGTTGCAAACGTTTCCTGGTACTGATGATAGTGTGACGCCTCTGAAGTTCCCACACTTGCTCAGATCTACTTTATTTGGTATCGTGGTGCGGTATTATTGAGCAGTAGACGTATTATATAACTCTCTCCCTTACGACATTATTGGAGAAATGTTTGTACAAGGCAATTGAAAAACAAGAAATTAATGTACACCGTTGCTGAGCCGTTCGGCAGTGCAACAATACCGCAACTAATCGACACTACCTCCCACCAAGATAATCAATTTCTTGATTGAGCACCAAACTACACAGAAGTTAAAAGCATTTGAAAAACTATGTAAGTCACAAAAGAGAATTGAAAAGCTAGTTCCCGATTCAAGATTCTCCAAGTCTTTATCTTAAAACTTTGTTGGCATTTGAATAATACACTAGGTAGTAACTACTGCTATACTGTCCAGCCCTTAATGCTGATCGCACGCTATCGATCATATCAGCCGCAGAATCTCAGTAATAACGTAACTGGACATGATACTGAGATGAGAATCATATGTCAAGTATTGAATCCTTCGAGATTGTAAATAAAAACACGGGTACTTATGTTTAAATCGTTATAAATTAATTTTGGTATTAAAACATCTTATCCACAATACACTAAATGTCACAGAAAATCAAACATTTTAATTGAGATCATGCATCGGTCGATGTCAGACCACCACTGAAAAACTGGAAACGCTGGACGGTCTTTTCGTCTCATTATGGGGCTCCTCAGAAGTGAGCGTTACGATCCCGCACGCGGGATTCCAACCTAGGAACTTTGTTCTCGCGCGAAAACACTTAAACTATAGACCACTGAGCCGGCATCCAACGATGCTAATGTCTAACTTCAACCAATCCACGAAACTGAGAAACCATCTACCATTGTTTGACGTAGATACCTTTACTGAGACATCATCCAGCACAAGGTATTAAAGCACGAATCAAAGCTACATGTGTCTCGAAATACACATACTAAACTACTAGTAAACTGCTCAATAATATGCCGAAGTTATGGGATGAAATAGGTCAGGAAAACCTAAATCGAAAGAACTAAACCGATCGAGTATATAGTTAAACGTTGGAATCAGTGATAAAAACACCATGCGTTTGCGCAACTCGTTTACACTTGTCGATTACACCTTACTACATTCATCGAACAAATATATTGCCCTCTACACCTATGTGTCTCGTTTCTTATCAATAACAGATTAGGTACATACGAACAAACACGACATGGTATAGTGGAACCTTGGAATCAATGTCGTCGTATTTTAGGATAACAAGCTTGTGGTTAAATAGTTGGATCAAATATTGGATTGACATTGAAACAATCTTAGCAAATGCAGTCTGTGACAATACTTCTGCCAAAATTGTTGGTGCATTTGTCTAGACACGACTTACGTGATGTAGTAGACGCCATCGTTGAATAGTAAAACCCACTAATGCAACTAGAAAGCAAGTGATTTATAAATTGGTAACGCAAATTTTCTGTGATAAATCTGAATATTACATAAATGAACCCCGACCGGCTACTTTGCAATATAATGAAGTCAATAAATAGTAAGCTTATTAAAAAAATGATAGGTCTCCCAAATTTTATTCATTTCTAACACTGAATAAAACAAAATACAAGTAAATCTAAAGGTGTGTCTGCAAATACATACACATGAAAACTTTGAACATATGCAAAGCGATCGAATCAAGTTATTCGGAAGAATCACAGTGTTGTCATTTGTTTTTGTCCAAAGGTTACAGATGAAGATACACATGTTGGTATAAAGGCATTTCGCAGGGAAAAACGAGAAAAAATACTGGCAAAATATAGAATAAGCAGTAAGAGGATTTACCAGTTTTGCAAAATGCTTATTATTTACATAACTGGGTACATATCTCTCTTCACTTTACCGTAAATAACCTAGTTTGGAAACAACAGTTAGTTTTAGTACATATTTTCTGTTTATATGATTTGAAGAAATACGACCAAAATAATCAAAACGATAAATAATAGCTTAAGACAAAACTCGGGTGACTTTTTTATGTTTTCAAAAAACTGAAAAGAGATAGGTAAATTATTGGGATATGTACACAAAAATTAGGTAGGAAATAAACTGAAAATTTAACAGGTAAGTATATATAAATATGAATCTATGTACAAAAGTGTATCGCAGTCTACTTTGAGCGTCTAGAAGTTGTTGCATGGCGTTTTTGTGCTTGAGACAAGCGGGAAAAACTATTAGAACCCACATTATTTGAGCGCGAAACTTGAGATCCAACAGAGGTAGGGAAACAAAGCAAGGCACTGTGATGTGGTTTTTCATATGACTTACAAAAACTGTTACTTTTTCCGTGAACATGGTTTTGGGAACTTGTTCTTTGGGCCGAAAAAGCGACATCTCTTACGTTTGGATACATAGACACGATACAATCATCACGGAGATTTCCTGACTGCTGATTTGAAGAGTTACCCGCGTTAGGTTTGGAGGATGTTAATACCCGTAAGCAGCGTCTTTTACGACCTTGGTGGGGCTTTCTGAAAGTAACCTCTGAAGACTTTAACGAATCAGTGTTAACTATTGGGGATAAAATGTTTTTCTTCTCTATTTGGTTAAATGTTGTTAGGGAAGCACTAAAAAATATGGTGAAAAATCCTAGGGATTAATTGAAGCATTATCACACACAACGACTGTATAGGCAAAATTAAATCCTCAATATTGTCAAGAATGAATCGTTTTCCAAATATTTGTCATAAAATAGTAACGTAACTGTAAAACGAGTTGGTCATAACTCTAGTGACATCTCATAAATAATGAAGTAAGAAAAACACCTTAAATGAATTTCCTGAAGTTTCAAACATTAGTTTGACAAATATATTTGTGTTCCTCCTAGCAGAAATTTAGTACATGTTAAAATACAGTTGATTACTTTATTGATTTAAAGTCTGACTAACTCATTAGTGAGATACGAAAGTATTAGTTGAGGTATTCTAATAATTATTTATAACTACATTTACATAGTACTAGTTACCTAAGAAACGGACATATTATATTTACTGAAAAATTCGACGGATTAAGACTAGGGACATTGTAAAAACTAAAACAAAGATAACAAATAGTCTAACAGAATATGAAAATAGTACAGGTCACCTGAAATATTAATGAACGATTGTATTTTGTATGACACTCAACTAGACATTTCACTAAAACAACACAGAAATTTAAGTGTTTAACTCACAGTTCATCCGCTAATACGCTGTATTCTCCAGGTTTTTCAACATCGGATTCGCCATTAGTATTGCAATGAAGGTCTCCTTCATCACTTGAAGTCTCCGAGTTAATTATTTCAATATGCTCGTTATAGCTGTCAGAACTAGAAATACTAACGGGTTTTTCTACTGAGAAATTAATCTGTGATCGAGAAGTATTGTCATCGGCAACACATTCATCTTGTGCACCGGAAAGCTTTGGTACTTGGGATGCATTAACACTGGGATTCGATTGCCAAACAAGAATCGGCAGATCAAGTTGTTCATTTTTAGGAACAGGTAAATTGGAATGCACAGAAAAATCAGTTCTTTGTTCTACAGATGGTGGCAGTGTACAATCTATTCTATTGACTGTGTTCAGGTTGGACTGTGCGACCCAGGGACTCGATGGAACGATGAAATTTTGAGATCTGCTACTTACACTTCCCTGCAACATTTTTGTATTTACTGGGAGTGAAGCGCGTAGGTGATGAGCATAATCTTGGATCCTTTGACGGAATTCAACAGACTTCTACAGGTTTTGAAAAATCATTCCAAAATGATTAACACCGGTGACAACATTGGAAATAATACTTGGAAAAACATGTATGCAAAAACCATAAAATAGGTTAGAAATGAAGCTTGTTTTGCATAAAATTAAAGACAATTTATCTCGTAAATACAGAAAACCAAACTGACACACACAATCCAAACAACGAAGCTAGCGCAATTGGTTTTTGCGAAGTCAAAATTTACAACGATAAGGAAGTTGGGTTAGGAAATATTGAATACACAATGAAGTAATTAAATCAAGTACTTCAATTCAGCGATGGCTTTTAAGTAAGATTTTTCGCAGCTAACAACTAAGTTTCTATGGTAACAAGAGTTGAGGGATGTATTGTAATGGTAAAATTCCAAAATCTTTAACTAACCAACGTCCCATAACACACTACAAAACTTAGTTATTTGATTATCATAGTCGCTCTACTTGTAAAAATTACGTTAACATTAACATAACTACTCGAGAAGACGAGATGAATACCTATACGAACATTATCTAAAAAACAGAAAGCCACTAGTTTCAATAACAATTTTCAAACTAAATGCTGAAAACCTTTTTTCCCTTTTTTCTTTCGCGATTTAAAAAAAATTTAATCAGTGTCTATTCGACTAACCAGTTTTTTAACAGAACTATTTGTTTTTGAAACCATTAGTGGTAGATGTTACGCTTAATAGTGCGGGCAATAAGACAAAACGAAAACTAAGTGTACATATTTTAAGCATGATTTAATCATAGCAGAAATTTTTTGCAGACTTAAAACAAGTAATTCTAAGCATAGGACTAATTTTTAAGGCATATGATATATAGTGGACTGATCTCCCCCTGATAAATTAGTATCAATATTAAGCTTCAGCAACAGCTTAGAAACTAGTTCAGTGGAGCACAAGTATGAACTTTTAGCATTATAACATGGTGAACGTAGATCATAAGATGTTCACTCTCGATGATGCAGCATAAAATTAATAAAGCTAAGGGAGCACCCAATTTGTAAATACTGACATCATTTAGTAGAATGGGCAGATTTCAGCTATGTGACCAACAATTCCTAATATGATACAATATCTAACTAAAATCGGCAGCTGAAGTACAGTCGATTTAGCATGGGTCCTATTTACTGAGTTTTGAAATGAATGTAGTGTCTACAGTTGTGAACACCGCTTTACCTACTTCGGTATGAGCAACTAGGTAGCATCACTAGGGCTTACGCTTTGAATGTAGTTCAAAACCAAGTACATGGATCTGCGCCTGAAGAGATACAAAAAAAGTATTCACAGAAAATCCATCGATATGCTTAACCAGGTCTAAGTAGTATCAAAAGATACAATGGATAATTTCAGTTTCCGCACTGATTCAAAGTCTGGCTAAAATTGCTGGACTTTATTTAGAAGCTTATTCTTATTCCGTAGTAGACTAGCTGTTTTGAATCGCTTCCACTTCACACATTAGTTAAGGACCCCTAAAATTCATCACATATTAGTGAGGTGTTTCAAAAAATCAGAGAGAACTCAATTGGTTTTTCGAGACAATTATAATGCTTTCTAGAGAGAATTGATTATTAACGGGTTAGCAAAATAGGGGCATAGAAACTACTAAAAACACCCATTTACTTTGGAAATACGAATGATTCGTCCAAGTATTGAAACATCAGTGTTGCAGTGCAAAAAATGATACTGAGGAAGTACGGCACTACTAAGAACAACGTAGGCATATTCAAAAGCCTGTTTAATTTGGAGTGCACAATAGGATCGACGACCAACATCGTTACCTGTCAAAAAAGTTCATATAAAAATAAAATACATCTAAAAACTGGAAACAATATGGTGAATCTCCTCGCGATTAACGGAGTCGAATGCTGTCTTACGGTCAAGGGATACACCTACAGTTGGACGTCGAAAAGTATGTCTAAGTTTCAGAATCTGCCGGGTGGTGAATACTTGGTGTATACATTAAAGTCCAGGTCTGAAACCAGACCAGTTTACTCGGGTTCGTTCCTCACGAGCTTTAGCTAGACGTCGAGATATCATTTTAGACACTATAAGCTAAACTGATTCCTCTGCGATTGTCACATGAGGATTTTTGCTCTTTCTGATGAACTGGGACGATCAACGATCGCAACCACTCATGTGGGACCGAATCCAGTTTCCAGATTTCAGTTAGTCTAACTGCTAAAACTAGACACTATCCGTAAAATTATTAAGGGTTAATCCATCAGTTTGATGGAGAATGTTGGTCGGCGGTCTATGTTCCTCCACGAGGGGAAACAGACATAAGTGAGTAACCCACCACACCATGTTGCTTTATTTGTTTCTTTATTTTAAAAAACAGATATTGGTACAAGAAGGCATCAAATAGATATGCGCAACACAAATCTCATTTGATATGTGTGAGGGTTGTGATACTGCCCGGGTGCCCAAACCGAAGCAGGTGGTTTTTTAGGGGGCCACACCCCGAGCCTTCGACCTAGAGGTCTGATCCACAAGGCAGTGGAGCAACGTAAGGAGATGAAGTCCCATGGTAGCCGGTGACCAACGATTGGTTCATACGCCATTTGTTCCTTCAGGATACTGGAGCCCATGTGCACCATTGGTTTGGAATCAGGGTTTTCCAGCTTCCCTAAGTGGACTCTCCATGTCCACCAATCCGGTTAAAGTGCCGAACATTCGCTTTTCGTCCTCTCATTTTCGTAAACAACACCCCCGCCACGAGAAGGCAGTGAGTAGGACTTCCCTGGTAGAGGCTATATACGCGTGGCCATGTGAGAGCATTTCGATAGGGACAGCGGACTCTCCCCACTCGCGGCCGTGCCGCGGCATTTGGTGGCTGATCTCCCCCGAATAGATCATACACAGCTTTTTCGACTTCCCTAGGAATTGAGAGACTACTTGCTTATTTCTAATCATGAAGTAGTTATTGTACATGTTTTTCCTTTGTCCGATCGTTTAATTATTTTTTAGTGTTACTGATTTATTTTGCATGAAACCGATATATTTTGGGGCAGAATTTAGTTTAAGTCAATATTTTGAGTGATGCTTAAATTCTTCAGTAAAAAACATGAAAGATGATGTCAAATATATCTTCGAAAGCATATGCATATATAAATGTCATTACCAAGGTATGACTTGACAATTTCAAATAAACTGAGCGAAATAATCTATGAGGATGACGGGATGCCAACCACTAACATCCATCGACGTCTTGGACGATGGGCAGAATTCTTTGAAGGGCAGTCCAACTGGCCTGCTGCTCCTGCAACAACGATCAGACTGTCCTGCCCTCCATGGCCGACGACGACGACTGGATCACCAAATGAGGCGGAAGTCCGCAAGGAACTTCAACTCTTGAGGCGCTACAAATCACTAGGCCCAGATGACTTACCTACGACTCTTTTTAAAGATGGTAGTGACTTTCTGGCTAAGGAATTGACGACGTTGTTTACAAAGGTTTAGGAACTAGAGAGTGTACCAACGTCATGGAATGAGTCGATAGTTGTCCCTATCTTTAAAAAGGGTTCACGTCATTCCTGTAACAGCTATCGGAGGACAGGTCTACTTCCCATCGCGTCAAAGCTATTGACTTCTGTCATATTTCGTAGGTTGTTCAAAACTCGAGAAAGATTGACTCGCAAGGAGTAGGCTGGGTTTCGTTCTGGTCAAGGATGTATTGATCATATCTTCACCATACGCCAAATGTTAAAACACCGTCATACTTATCACAGGTCAACAATCGTAATGTTTCTTGACATCAGGGCTGCCTTCGATTCGTTGGATAGCACTGTTCTTTGGGATTGCCTATTGAATAAGGGTGTGCCTGAGAAGTTTATTAACATCCTAAAAGCCCTATATAAAAACACCTCAGGCAGAGTGAGGGCATACAACCACCTCTCTCCATTGTTCCATTCAAGCAGTGGGGTTAGACAGGGTTGCCCAATCTCACCATTCCTCTTCTACTTTGCCATCGACGACATTCTGGAAACAGCTCTGATGGATGTAAGTAATGGTGGTGTGGATCTGTTGCCTGGAGAAAGACTTCTCGACCTTGAGTATGCGGACAATATTGTCTTACTGTGCGATAATGCCCAAGGCATGCAATCCGCATTTAATCAGTTGGCAATCAGTGTCCGTAAGTATGGTATGTGCTTTGCACCTTCGAAGTGAAAAGTACTTCTACAGGACTGGCAGGATTCTAATCCTGTACTCACCCTGGATGGTGAGCAGATAGAAGTAGTCGAGAAGTTCGTGTATCTGGGTAGCTGCATAAGTGCTGGTGGGGGTGTGAGTGATGAGATCAATGCACGTATAGTGAAAGCTAGAGCGGCTTATGCCAATTTGGGCCACCTTTGGCGCCTTCGTGATGTTAGTCTGGCTGTAAAAGGTCGGATCTACAACGCGTCGGTGAGAGCAGTTCTGCTCTATGTTTGTGAAACCTGGCCTCTCCGAGTTGAGGACGTTAGAAGACTCTCTGTGTTCGATCATCGTTGTCTCCGAAGGATTGCTGACATCCAGTGGCAACATCAGTTTAGTAATGCAGAGGTTCGGCATCGTGTGTTCGGGCACAGAGACGTTAATCCAATTGGTGTCACTATCTTGAGACATCGACTTTGGTGGCTTGGATATGTTCTACGAATGTCGTCACAAAGAATTTCACGTCATGCATTATTTGCCGACTCTGGGACTAGTTGGAAGAAGCGGAGGTGGTCAGTGCATGACATGGTGTCGTGGCATGAAAGAAAGCTGCAAAGGACTGGCTTCTGTCGGTCCTTCACGACTCCCTGGTTGGGGTCTGAGAGATGATGGAACACAGTGGCTAGAGACGTTATCAGATATAGCTCAGAACAGAAGCCAGTGGCGATCCTGCTGTAACCTTCTTTTACTTTCTTCATAAAACGTGGTTGTATCTTCATTAACCGAAAGATTTCTTCTGATTGTACCTTTCTGTTTCTCCCATTATTATTATTATTATTATTATTATTATTATTATTATTATTATTATTATTACACCATCTTACACTAATCTGTTCTTTTCATTTTTTTTGTTTTACGCTCCTTACCTTCTTTTACTTCTATTCCCATTACCTTTTTTTTGTGTGGCGCATATATATTTGGCGCCCCCTTGTACCAATATTTATGTGTTGGAATAAATAAGGTGTTTTGGAACATTAAACGTCATCTGATTTTTATAAACAGGTATTTAAATCATGGGCCAGTCGATTCGGTGACACCTAACAATTTTTTGTTTGGGGCTCCTAAAGCAATGGGACTTGCAATTCAATGGGTGTAGGTCTTTTCACTTAAAAACCAGAAAAACACCCACACACAGTGCAAGCAGAAATGTATTATTTAAATGTAACCAACCAACAACTAGAAACATTTATCACCCGAAGCACAATCAAGAAATCTGAAAAAGTCAATGACTCCTGTTCCTACCTTCTATAACTGACCCCTACGGTAGCCACTTTTGTGATGCTTTGGAATGAGACACATCCTACTAACTAGTCGATGATTATCTAAGGCTATATTAACCGATTGATCATCATTATATGGTACATATACAGATCTTACGTTGCGGACAACTGACTGACATAATACCTTATGCGTATGTGAGGCAGTAGATGGAGGTAGTCGATAGGAAATCCTGGACCCAGGTTTTATGTCATCTGGACTATGAATTATTCGTTTAGTACCTCCACTTGAGAAATGCTTAGGGGATACCTATAATCGTATACTGGCATGTTTAAGTTCTAAAATAGAACGTCGAATAACGACTCTATTAGATTATTTACGTCTGAGTCCTGTTTGGTTTTCTCGGTTCAACTGTTCCACGGATTTAGTTGTGTATTGGAAGACCAGAGGCTAATATTTAAGAAACTACATTAAGCAATACTTTTTGTGGTCACCACAAGAGCACTTGGTTTTCCCATACACCGAGACAACTAGAGATCGTGACCACGGTTATTAGTAAAACTAGAGGATTCAGGTTCTTATTTGTTTATTTACGGTGGACTACCATGCATAAAAACTTACAGAATTTATGTATCAGGTTTAACAGCCCATCTTCACTGATATGAAAAACTAGTTTTTCTGACAACTACCACGAAGTATTGGTAATACCTAGAGCTGGATTACAGTCAGTCAGTCAGCAACAATATAGAACTTCGTATGTACGTAAATCAGTTCGAGTTGCCATACCACATTACACAGATACAACTGTCGATTCAAATCCCTTAGTGGTAGAGGTAGTAAGAGTATAAGCAGTAATAGGAAACATTAGGGTTTGAAGATGCTACTCAAGTAGTATAATCTAGTGAAATAAATTTGGAAAGAAAATAAAAGAACATGAATAATTCAGATTAGAATTTAAGAGAACAAAATGAGTGGGTGCAACCGCGCCATTGCAAAAGATTTTGAGCCATGTCACTCAAGGTCTCTAACCATCGGTTTCTATTGTCTCGCGGATTTCAACCAGGTAGTCTACACCTACCAATATGGCTCAGTCCACTTGTCAGTGACTTCATGGACTTGTGCCATGTTTTGGTCCGACCGCCCAAAGCTGGATATAATGTAAGAGTCTGCTACTATTTATTTGTGAACGTAGAGGAGAGGCTAATTAAAACAGTTAAGGGAATTTTCATGTAAGGAAGAAATTTACACAACAGCGATGATTTAGAATCTGGTAGTTCTGTATGTGACCTAAAAAAGACTGCTTGATACTGACTTGAATAGTTTAAACCGTTGAAAATATACACAATGAACCCATAAAGTTCTGCGTTTCTTAACGTATCAGCATAACTTATGAATTGCTCGCTTGACTATTAACTTCATAGCTGTCAATTAATATACATTTACTGTGCAAAGCTGAGTTTATTCTTTAGAAAATACTTGACTCTACGTTGTTAAAACAACCAAGTTGGTGTCTCATAGTCGTTTATTAACTGCCTACATTCTTCCACCCGTTCTTTACATCATGAGGACATACTTTGACAGCACTGGATGTACATTAAGCATAGCTTTACCAAAGGTGTTGTTAAACTGAGTGGATCAAAATCTTTAGTGCATGAAATCTACGTACGACTAAGCATTTTTTTGAGATATGTTTGATTTAAATATTTATTGCTAACCTTACAGACCACAAATAAACAAAGAATGCTGCTAGATAACGGTGTTAGACTTGATATCTGGTAGACCAAGTAAAGAGCAATGACATCACTGTTAAAACATTTATTTGAGATTGTTAATGAAGTATCATACTTACCAGGGCAAAGCGGATCCTCAATACAAAGAAGCGATGGACGTAAGCCTCTCTCCATATTTTGTTGGACAACTTCCTTACGAACATAACACCCACCATTTGTTATACGAATAGCTGTATTTCTGTAATTGAAATGACGACCATAAAGCTCGAAGAACTCGACCAATAGAATGCCCAAATTGACATCATCAATAGAGACTTCGGGGCGTAGTGTGTGCTGTAAGAAAAAACGGATTTATTAGGTCAGCTATATTATTATAACCCGTGTCTTGGCTTATGTAATAGGCTTCCTCATAGAGGTTAAGTACATGTTTAAAGAAAATGGATTTTTGCCGAACCGCTGAACGGTAATGTGTACCGACTTACTTTTTTGTTATTTATCTGAACACATATTGGTACAAGGGGGCACCAGATACATATGCGTCACACAAACAAAATGAGATTCGCGTGAGGGCTGTGATCTACTTCGAAAACCTTGAAACATGTGACTTTAAAATTATCGACGTAATTTGTGCTTAGATTTTACGAACTAAATAAAAGACGGAGAATAAACTTCAAAATACCAAGTAACAGACTAAAAGCTCACTGAACATGTCTCAGCAACTCTTCCTTTTACTACACAACAAACTACATAATTCAGATGACCATCAAAAGACCAGACGAAGTAACACGTAGAAACCAACTGCTTCTAATCATGCTACAGAAATCACGCCTTCTACAAAAGTATAAATTTGGGTGCCAATCGTTGCAAAGGTAGCCTAGGTGTTTGAGTGAAATCATTGTTAATGGCAAGTCACTTAAGCAAATTTGTGTTGGGTTTTTTAGGCTAAATATTAGGGGATATTGACTTACTTGCAGGAAACTAACACACATTAATATGAGTGCGTATGAGCTCAATCCTCCAGTCCACACTTCATTTAAGCTTCGTTGAAGCAAAAATTGCTTTAAAACGAACACCAGGTATGGGAGGCACGGGTATTTTTTCATGAAAACTCTGATAAGCTCCGCCGCTTTGACACTATTAATCATATTAAAGCTAATGTCCACTCGAAGTTCTGTCTCTTTATCTGTCATTTTTACAATCGGTACCTGAAATTTAGAATATAAATGACCAGTAAGCAACGTACTGTGGCCTTGTCTAAAACCTTGATTTCAGATGAAATGCCACTTTTGAACAGAGCTTGTTCTAAAGTATGTAGAGGTAAGGCGTCCCATTTCCCGAATATGACCATATCAATGTCACTGAACCAAGTATGTTACAAAAATATGGACAAACCTTGTGGGAAGATACAGGCCTGTCTTAAAGCTTCCGAAGACATCAACCTATAACCGATATTAATCATCAACTTATCAATTACTTGACAATTTGGCCACAGACCATACACAATGTCCTTAACCTTGGCAACGACTACCTCACGAGCAAACTGTTCTGCTGGATTCGGTGATATGTAGTTCAGGAAGTCTTTTATCTCAGAATGCAGCCTGGCCAATAAAAGAGAAATACTATCTACCCAATGACACCGAAATCGTACTCCTTTTCCGTTGACTTCCACGGTATGTCTTCTAGTTTAAAACTTTGTCCAAGAGGAAAGCCGTAGTTCCTATATTCATCAGGCTTCAAAGCAGAAGTGACATTATTTCTATTATATCCCGTTTGAATTGCTACACCCTCCATGACACCGACTGTCACGAAACTAGCAGTGGGTGGTCTCCACAAGGTTCTTACACCGTGCGGAATGACGCGCCTTTTGATCCGAACGTCCTTAACATCGACGAAAAATTATGTTCAATAAATCAGTTCGCTGATTGCTATATGTACTTAGTAAATTTAGAAATGAATTGAAATATTGAGCCCCAAAAGTTTAATAGACATTCTTTCGATTGGGCGTTATTAATCAGCTTCATGTTGTGGGGGCTTGAGCCGAGCTAGGTGGTTCCAGGGAGGCATGAAGAGTAGCGTGACATTGACTGTTGAGGAGAAGAACAAAATAGAATGTGAGTCAACAACCCAGAACTTACACACGATTCAGTTACATTTACTACTGAAATCAATAGAAAATAATAAGCAACAACACAAGCCTCAGATTAAGACATTCTTGAAATCGAAACTGGAAGCATTTAGTTTAATCGACTACACGTGTATCTTTTCGGAAGGCTTGTGTTTTGGATTGATGTTGTAGTATATTAGAGCATTTCCACATGACTTTTTAGCATCATTAATCGATTTCAGCTGTTTGGCAAGTAAACAGAATGTAGGGCCGGTGAAATGTCAATGAGCCCTAGACAAGTCATCCGGCAGTTGGTCACTGAATATCTAACAGATCATCGGTTTTCGTCTAGGTCAAGGACGACCAGTTAATCGTATGCCATGGACTAGTGCATGAAATGGTGGTCTCGCTATCTTCTCTGTACTCATTCTTACTAATGTATTCCTATGATCACGTCGGGCTCACCAATCAAGGAAGATGCCTCAATTATTTGTAGTTTGACAACACTTTCAAACGGTTCATGTGGTTTACGACGGAATAGAAGAAGCTTACGCTTAACAGGCTTCAGTGTCAGTAATACCTTTAAGTATGAACCTAGGTATGTTATCTATAATGGATTAGAAAAAGAAGAAACTGGTAGCTCATAATAAGATGTTATCCTTAGTCCTTAAGAATAGGTCAAGTTCCCTATTAAAGGACTCCTGAGAAGTCGACGTAACGATGGTGTTGAGTTTCACCACGTTACCATTAGTGCTAATTCGTGCTCCATCGATAGTAGACCAGTCGACATCCCTATTCCAGTTTTCGTTGCGCACCAGATTGTGAGTGGAAACACCGTGTTCAACTTCATCAATCGCTTGCCAGTTTAGATCAGTCACTACTCGATATATTGATAACCTATCAAATATATCTTCAAACCTCCCCGCTTCTTACTTTTGATTTCACTGCACGAGCACGACTCAATTATAGAAGGTGTTGCTGGTTAGAGTGTTGTCGATTTACAAATACTTGTGGAGTCTTCATTGGATTTTGGGGATTTATTTGCCGCTGCAGATCCCTACCCCCTTAATGGGATACTGAAGACCCTAAAACATGACCAGCCAGAAGTCCAACCCAACGAGTTTGTCGTTCGCAAACATTCTTCTGACAGCTTGCTATGTTCAGCAGCGTCTGGTAGCCTTTTCTTACCATAAGAGGTTATGTGGTATAATATAGTAATAAAGAAATGGGTACAATGAAAATTTCGGTTGATTGTAAAGTTCCTCATCTTTACGTATTTTCCAGCCGTCCTGGAAAATAAAAAAGTATATGTGATTGTGTGTCGAAATACACTTGTAAATGCGGGAAGCCACAAAACGGGCGAAAAAAGAAAATAAACTAACAAATATGCGTTTCATAGACATGCGATAGCGTAAAAGCGATTTTTACAGAATGGTATTCTTGGATTCTTTTCAAAAAAATAAATACACACAAATAAGCGAGCATATTAGCAAACAGAAAAAAATTATTTTTTAAGGGATAAAAAAGTATGTATAGTAGCATATTACAAATTGTTTTTTTGTTTTTTTACATAATACAACGAAGAATCGAGACGAAACAAAATGTTATTCAGTGTCATACGTGCAGTAATTGTTTAGGTTTTCTGGGAACCATACTCTACTTGCAGAACACGCTATTTTGGATATTTTCAGGTACCTCCCATCAAAGTATCATCTTTGTTGTGGGCTATCGGATCAGGTATCATAGATGTACGACTCGTGTCATTCGATTGTACCGAGAGAAAACCGATATGGCACGTGTTAAATGAAGTAGAATACAGTATTAGCGCACCAGACAAGTTGAAGTGATCTTCGACATCTTGAGGAAAACCTTATATAAACTTTGCTCTGGTGTCCCTACTCATCGTTATATTATGACGGGTGTATCAACATGGTAATGTAGTACGTTTGAAACCTTTTCCAAAGCAAACATTTTTGCAGACATTCAACATTGAGTCTCACCTTTCTGGCCTTAATGTTCACTACTAACTGAAGACCGTTGATCAAGATTCGCCACCAGATCGCAGCACAACCAAACATGAAATGCATTTCCTCCTCTAGACGGTTGGTTTCAAACTTTCATGTTTCCCTAACGTGGCCTAAATAATATGGGCCTCTAATTAAAACCATCGTCCACTCCTTTCGAGTTTTCTAACTGCAATTGTTTCAAGGAACTCAGAGGCTGGTGTTTTCGGATTTTGTCGTGTTTAAACTTTAATATACAGTGTAATAGAAATAAAAATATCTTAGAAGTATAAGCTTATGAAATTATTTCATCTTCAATAACTTTGATTGCTGTGGTAGCCTTTCACTGATTCCCTACTAAATGGATTGAAATATGTATTTTGAGTTGAGAGATATAGAAGAAACGCATATTTAATTAGTTACTTTATTAGGTATTTTAGCAGTTCTCGCATTTTAAGGTACATTATTAATGGAAACAAAGGACTTTTGCTGATTGTTTGTCTAGAATTTACAATAAGCCTTTTTTAACCATAGACTGTGATGCAAATCTCTGACATAGAAAGAGTGATAGGAAAAAACAAAGCAATTATTAACTAAACTGAATTCATTTTCAATGTCCTGAATACAGAAATTACTAAAGCATCTAATTCAAACAAGCATTCATCAAATAACAAGCTGGCAGAGAGTCAAATTATTGAATCAGAGTACGCAAATGACATAGTCCTGTTTGTTGAAGACGCTGATAAAGTGCAGTCTTTTGGCAACACTAAACAACAATGCCAGGATTTTTGGGATGTGTTTCTCTCTCGCTAAATGTAAATTGTTGCTTCACGACTGGTCTGCGTCAACACCTGAACTAAGGATAGGGAGTGAAGTGGTCGAACACGTCGACAACTTCACTTATCTTGGAAGTGTGATCAGCCCCAATGCGTTAGTGTCTGGAGAAATCTCAGCACGGATTCAGAAAGCTCTTTTGGCTTTCGCCAACTTACGCCACCTATGGGGTTGGCGAAATATCCATCTATCAGTTAAGGGACGAGTATACTACGCAGCAGTTCGTTCTGTTTTACTTTGTGGCTGCGAAACGTGACTATTAAGAGTAGAGGATACTCGTAAGTTACTAGTATTTGACCACAGATGCCTTAGAAATATTGCCAGCATCTGTTGGGATCACCGGTTAAGCAATAGTGAGGTTATATGCAGGATATTAGTGAATGATTGTAAGTCAGTTAATGAGGTTGTGAATCTTCATTGACTGGGATGGTTGGGCTACGTAGTACACATGCCCAACCACCGACTACCACGACGCGAAATGCTGACTAGGGTTGGAGACAGATGGAAGGTTAGGGGCGGCCAAACCAAAACATGGCATCGGTCGATAGAGTCACTAACTTCTAGGTTGAGTCATGTTGGTAGATACAGACTACTTGGTTGGTGTCTGCGTGACTATCGTAACCAATGGTTGGAGACTCTGGGTAACATGGCTCAGAATCGTAGCATCGCAATCACCATTAAAGTAACTGCTTCCATGTTTTAGGTGTTCATCTTGTTGTGCTAATGAGGTGTGGCAACTTGGACCGATGCATATATGGGCCTGGTTTTACTTAGTAGCTGACTGACTGATTCCAAGTTATCGCTTGCCTCGTGATGTAGTTTGATGATTACCTCAGTGTACATCCTATCCACTTCCAACATCTTTTCCTAATTTCCTCTTGAGCTAGAAGTTGGTTCCTCCTCTCCCACAATGGGCTGTTGTTGGTGGTATCCGGTCAACGGATATTCAGTATCTTACGTAGACAATTGTTTATAAATAATTGTATCATTTTGATGATGGTTGTATCAGTTCTCCAAGTTTCAGCTTCGTACAGTAGAACTGTCTTGACGTTCGTACTGAAGATTCTGAGTTTGATATTGGTTGCCAGTTGTTTCGAGTTCCATGTGTTCTTCAGTCGTGGGAATGCTCCGCTTGCTTTACCAATCCATGCTTTCATATCTGCATCAGATCCCCCTTGTTTATCAATAACGCTCCCAGGTATGTTAAAAGTTTCCACATCTTCCAGAGCATCCCCATCAATTGTGGTTTGGCTGGTGCTCGCTGTGTTATATTTCAGTATCCTCTTGCCTTGTAGATGTTGAGACTTATTGCTCCAGAGGCTGCTGCTACACTGTTTGTCTTCACCTGCATTTGTTTCTGTGTACAGGGTAGAATATTTAAGTGATCCAAGAAGCCTTGATTGTGTAGTTGCGTCCGAGGTCTCCGTGCTTCTCTTGAGATGTGAAGGTTTTCACAATCCAGTCAACTACCAGAAGAAAGAGGAAAGGCGAGTGTAAGCAGCGTTGTCTGACACCAGTCTTCACGTACAATGAATCTGTGAGTTATCCTTCATGCACCACATTGTAGTGTCGTCCTTCGTAAGAATTTCGTATGATGGTGACGATCTTGTCAAGTACACCATAGTGTTGAAGAGGGTCGCATAACGGTTTACTATCGGCGCTGTCAAATGCTTTCTCAGAGTCAAGAATGTACATACAAACTCAGTATCGTTGACTTATCAGCAATGCCACATAACTACAAAAATAAACGAATAACCCATTGATCTACTATATACCTTCATGGTTACTTAAGAATGGAGGTTCGGACACCTAATGACACCGTTCCAAGTCTCTAGCTTACCTAGCAGCAGTAGTTATCCCTTAGATGCACGAAAAACTACCCATGCATCGCTTCGCTGGATGGTCTCAAAATCAAACAGGTCTAACTATCATCCTAGTAATATTGTATGCCATCTCACGAGTGTTGAGGGTTGTGGTAAACACCAGATATATGACATGCTTCCTTTTGCATCTACAACCAGTTTTATAAAACCCCTCTCACACATGATCTATAAGAATGAATTCTTCACTCACATAGCCAATATAAAAGTAACAGGTCTACTGTCATGGTATTATACTTCGACATTCAGGAAGAATTTGTTAACTCGACAGTTAATACGATTGTCCTGCTTGACGACAAGCAGTGGAGTGTAAACAATACGTTAAATTAACCCAGGAAAGTTCAACTCATTGTAAACAAACTATGAAGACGCAATTAACCTGAATGAAGTTTAGATGCAAGTGGTTAAGATAAATCTCGTGCTTTGGAGCCTCTTTCTATTGCCAGTGATGTAGTGTACTTAAACTATTACTCTTTGAAAACTATACCGTCGACGCACAGTGATACAAAAACACATCAGGCATTTTCTCAAAACCGACTACCTCATATGTAACATTTCACATTAACGGCACACTGTTATCCATAATAACTCCACGAGCCATACAGTTTCAGTAATTATTCTCGTGTTGATTTGTTCAGACTCTCTCCAAGTGTCAAACTTCCAAACTCAATACCCTCAGTGAGTACATGCTCATCATCAAGGATGATATGTGGTAACCGCTTCTTGTTGTTCCACTATCGTCAGAAATCTATTGACCAGCAAACTTTGACGTTAAGTGCAATGATTTGAATTCACCAATGTTTGTGACTCACAACATTTTTGTCTCAAGTTCTCTGTGACTAGAAGTGAGATAAATAATCAATGATCTTTCAGCCGTAATCCTATTTTTCTAAGTTGGTTCACTATTCTATCATGACAAGCTATCACATACAAATGCAGACTCCTACATCACGACTAGATAGCTAGCACTTCACTAAAAAGAATGATAAACATAAACACAGAGAAGTAATGATAACAACGAAGTTAGATATGTTTTAGGCACCTCACGCACTGTTAAGTCTGCACATGAAGCTATTTGCCTAGATGACGAAGGTTCATGTAGTAACATCACTACTATTTACCTAACGTCAACATAAATAATCCACGCTTAAACGAATTCCAGAGGAAACCGAAGTATTTGTCCGTGGACAACATAAATCTCGATAAACAGCCAAAAACAGAATTATGTTTAGAGCAAGAAGAATAAGGCATGAAATAAAACACAAAATGGTTTGAAATATATCTAGAAGATATGTGTGTTACGTACTCCGCCTGGGTATCGAAATCAATTATTGCGAACTATCATCCTTCTCGATAAAATTTATTAACATGATTTCTATTAGAACTTGACGGCAGTGACAGAATATATAATCATTCTACATGAAAGAAACTAGTGAATGTTATTAGAAATCATAAAAATAGTAAGAAATAACCTAATGCAGTTATGAAACTCGCTTGGGTTAGTCTCGCTTCTAAGTAATGAAAATCCAAAGTAGACAGTAGTTCAAATCTAAATTATAAACGAGGTATTGTTGGTTAAATTCCTGGATTGGCACAGTGTTGTGGACTGAATTTGTATAAGTCCAAAATTAACTGAAGCCAAATGCATAGCACTGCCTGACGAACAGTTCAAATGAGATCTAAGATTGCAGGATATTTATGGTTCGAACTCATCGTAAATTTCTAAAATTCGTATCGCCTGTTCGGCTATAGAACTCAACATTTGGAAATTAGACAGGCAGTGGTCAAATAAGTAAAACATTGTAGTGGATAGTGATTAGGCACATAGATAAATTTATAGTTGACAGTTAATCTTGTCTCGTTTATACAAGTGGACAAGTTGCAAACGGATGTACGATTGTGTTGCCTTGTGGCTATGTTTATGAGTAGTTGATATTTTAACAGACACATTATACACCAACATTTATATCCCGCTAATGCTTGTCAACAAACCACGATAGACAATTATAATAGTCGTTGACTGATTAGTCCTATCAATAGTACTAATTATTAAGGTTTAAATAACCATCAACATTGAAATGAAATAATGAACGTTCACAGTAATTGATTAACATATGCGAAGATAAAAATAAAAATAAATAAATATAGAATGCAATATAAAAGATAACAATGATAAGTTCCGTTATTCGAAAACTTACTCACCAGTGTAGATCAACAACGTAGATAATCTATGTCGAATGATTGGAGGCCTACTCGAGTCAGACGGGAATGTTATGACGAAACAGCTAACTTCGAAGTCACACTTTGCGGTCAACATCTAGCGTGGATTATCCCTTCGATGCATCAACGTACTATGGCTGCTTTGAAGACTGTATAACACAAAGGACGTTATTAAGGAAATATATCAGTAAGAATGAGTACAGAGAAGATAGCGAGATCATCACCTCATGCACCAGTTCATGACATACGATCCACTGATGAGCGTTGGTTGTCCTTGACTTTGACAGGGATCGATGATCTGTTTGATATTCAGTGACCCAACTGCCGGATGATTTGGCTAGGGCTCAGTGACATTTCACTGGCCCTACACCGATACTCACATTTGTGTGAGAGGTAGTGTTTACACTAGTACGCCCAACTGTCCACCATTTTTATAACCACCTGGGAAATATCTCGAAGGTCAGGCTCTATGGCATAAATTACGACCGCTGGCTTAAGTTCCCTACAATACTGAAGTAGCCTACACAACCCAATCACAATTGAACTCAACGTTGAATTTGATGTAAGTGAGGATCTATGGCTAACTTTAAGCTCAAAACGTAGGTCAATGCAACATTAAAGTACAATTAAAACACAATCGTGTGGTGCGTTTAACTGTTTCGAACAATCAGTTTCCAGATCAATTGTTCAGTGGCGGGAACTGGTTGACCCTGAGAGTAGTCATGTTTCCCATTGATTGGGTGTGCACTACTGCTCGCTTGGAACCTATAGATTATGTTCGAAAGCCACAGGTTATCTTACGCTTAATTATTGTGGTAATTTCGTCCCATGTATAAGAAAATAAATACATTTAGATATTAGCAGTTGTCAATATTGCAATTGTACATAACGGCTGCTATATTTATGGGAAGTGCTTGTTTAATGAAGATCAGGCATCTTGTGGATATAGTTTGCTTCTTTCTTCGTCAACATTTATTCTTTGCCTCGCCTATCTTTGGTTGGATTTAATAGTGGACAATGTTTCGAGCATTGACATACGTTTGCGAATCGCTAAATTTGACGTAGTATTGCCAGGTAATTCTTAGATTTTGGTTGCACTCGGTATAACAACAATTCACTGCCTTTCAGTCAAAGTTTTCGGCCAGTTTATTGCTCGATTTAGCTGGTGAGACTATTAAGACATACGTAAGAGTAAAGTCCCTTAAAGATTCACAACTTCAAAATGACTAGTGTTTGATAGCGACTTCCAACAGTGGAATTTATTGCTCAAGATTCATATAAAGTGCTTCATTCTTCATATCATTGTATGCGCAGATTAGGCTAACAACCAAGTTGGTTCTAAGTTACATTGGTCGGTAGCTAGCATTACTGCAACTTCGTTTGTTTCTTAATCTATTCAACGAATTGTGGTCCTCAAGGGTACAAGTGAGATAGTTTAATCTTTGGTAATCAGAACAATGAGTCGGTTGACCATTGTCAATCCTTACAGTCAGTCAGCTACAACGTAGGACCAGGCACATATATACATCGGTTCAAGTTGCCAAACCTCATTAGCACAACAAAATGAACACCTAATTCATAGAAGTAGTCACTTCAATAGTAGTAGTGTATGAAAGAAAGATTGTTTATAAGGATATAGTAAAGGAAGGAAGAATTAGTTCGTAGAAAGAAAGATATAAAGCAATTTTAATCTCTTAGTTTGACGGAAGACAAAAAGTGTATACACGCACGTCATTGTGATCGATTCTGAGCCATGTTACCCAGAGTCTCCAACCATTGGTTACGATAGTCACGCAGACACCAACCAAGTAGTCTGTATCTACCAACATGACTCAACCTAGAAGTTAGTGACTCTATCGACCGATGCCATGTTTTGGTTTGGCCGCCCCTAACCTTCCATCTGTCTCCAACCCTAGTCAGCATTTCGCGTCGTGGTAGTCGGTGGTTGGGCATGTGTACTACGTAGCCCAACCATCCCAGTCAATGAAGATTCACAACCTCATTAACTGACTTACAATCATTCACTAATATCCTGCATATAACCTCACTATTGCTTAACCGGTGATCCCAACAGATGCTGGCAATATTTCTAAGGCATCTGTGGTCAAATACTAGTAACTTACGAGTATCCTCTACTCTTAATAGTCACGTTTCGCAGCCACAAAGTAAAACAGAACGAACTGCTGCGTAGTATACTCGTCCCTTAACTGATAGATGGATATTTCGCCAACCCCATAGGTGGCGTAAGTTGGCGAAAGCCAAAAGAGCTTTCTGAATCCGTGCTGAGATTTCTCCAGACACTAACGCATTGGGGCTGATCACACTTCCAAGATAAGTGAAGTTGTCGACGTGTTCGACCACTTCACTCCCTATCCTTAGTTCAGGTGTTGACGCAGACCAGTCGTGAAGCAACAATTTACATTTAGCGAGAGAGAAACACATCCCAAAAATCCTGGCATTGTTGTTTAGTGTTGCCAAAAGACTGCACTTTATCAGCGTCTTCAACAAACAGGACTATGTCATCTGCGTATTCTAAGTCGATAGGTGGACCTCTTAGAAGGAGATCAATGCCCGAGAATTCAGTCGACGAGAACATTATTTCCATCAGTAGGTCTATGGTGAAGTTGGACAAAAATGGAGATAGTGGACATTCTTGATGGATACCACTTCAGCTAGATTCGGGGACCTACTTCAATCTTCCATTCAGGCTGTTTCGGAATAGTGGGTAGTTGTAGAGTAGCTAAAGGCCAGCCAAACTCCTTAAAATGTTCCCGTCCTTCGTTCTATACATATGGGCTAAGAGCAGATGATAGTGTCGTCTTTTTCCTAAATCGTCTCACCTTCACTTTACTTCTTAGTTCCAATTTCTTTTATCCTGAAAAGCTGTCTGGTGTTACCTACATCCGTCGCCTTTTCTTTCTCTTTTGCTTTCGTTGCCCGTCACTGCTCACGGTCGTTGCGTAGACTTTTGGTTAACCTAGATCTGATTTGCTTTCGCTTATCATCGTGTTCGAAAGCAAATCAGATCTAGGTTAATCAAAAGTCTACGCAACGACCGTGAGCAGTGACGGACAACGAAAGCAAAAGGGAAAGAAAAGGCGGCGGATGTATGTAGCGCTTAGTGCTGGCGTAGGTGTCTCACTAAGCGTTAGAGCTGAGGCAGCACTAATCGATTGGATCCCCATTAACAGTCGGTTATGTGCTGTTGGATTAGAGAATTCCATCAAAGTGAGAAGAAATCGGCGAGAGAAATGATGTCTTTTCGTCATCTCCGCCTATGCCCCGACAGATTGCAGCCCGGATGCAATCAAGAATGAGTTTTACTACCAGTTATCTGTTCTTCTCCAGAAAGTGCATTTGACAGATATTGTAGTACTAGCCGGAAACTTGAATGCTCAGGTCGGGCGTCTAGGCACAGAAAAGAGTCCTTTAGGTGGCCGATGGGGACTCGTTGGTCGCAGGTCAGATAACGGGGACCGTCTACTGCAACTTCGCACAGACCATAACCTGTTTCTGGCTAGAACCCTTCGCCAAATATTAAAACACCGTCATACTTATCACAGGTCAACAATCGTAATGTTTCTTGACATCAGGGCTGCCTTCGATTCGTTGGATAGCACTGTTCTTTGGAATTGCCTATTAAATAAGGGTGTGCCTGAGAAGTTTATTAACATCCTAAAAGCCCTATATAAAAACACCTCAGGCAGAGTGAGGGCATACAACCACCTCTCTCCATTGTTCCATTCAAGCAGTGGGGTTAGACAGGGTTGCCCAATCTCACCATTCCTCTTCGACTTTGCCATCGACAACATACTGGAAACAGCTCTGATGGATGTAAGTAATGGTGGTGTGGATCTGTTGCCTGGAGAAAGACTTCTCGACCTTGAGTATGCGGACAATATTGTCTTACTGTGCGATAATGCCCAAGGCATGCAATCCGCATTTAATCAGTTGGCAATCAGTGTCCGTAAGTATGGTATGTGCTTTGCACCTTCGAAGTGAAAAGTACTTCTACAGGACTGGCAGGATTCTAATCCTGTACTCACCCTGGATGGTGAGCAGATAGAAGTAGTCGAGAAATTCGTGTATCTGGGTAGCTGCATAAGTGCTGGTGGGGGTGTGAGTGATGAGATCAATGCACGTATAGTGAAAGCTAGAGCGGCTTATGCCAATTTGGGCCACCTTTGGCGCCTTCGTGATGTTAGTCTGGCTGTAAAAGGTCGGATCTACAACGCGTCGGTGAGAGCAGTTCTGCTCTATGCTTGTGAATCCTGACCTCTCCAAGTTGAGGATATTAGATGACTCTGTGTTTCAGTCAGTCAGTAACAACGTAGAACTTCGTACGTACGTACATCAGTTCGAGTTGCCGCCACATTAGCACATATGCAGTGGTCGATTCGAATTCCGCAGTGGTAATAACTTTGTAAAGACAAAAAGTAGAGACAAGGAGGAATAAGGAGATCAAAATTTGGGAGAACACAGAGTGTATGCACCTGCGCCATTGCAAACGGTTTTGAGCCATGTCATTCAGGGTCCCTAACCATCGGTTGCTTTCATCTCGCGGTCTCCACACATATCCCAGCCATCTCAACTGATAAAGTCTCACTACTTCATCAATTGATTTGCCATCCATACCTAGTACCCGTTTCCTAACAACTGCATTACTTACTCGATGGTCCCAGGATATACAAGCAATGTTTCGAAGACACCTATGATCAAATACTAGTAACCTACGAATATCCTCTACTCTTACTGGCCATGTTTCACTGCCATAAAGTAGGACGGAACAGACTGCTGCACAGTAAACCCGTCCTTTGGTTAGCAGACGGATATCTCGCCTACGCCATAAATGACGCAAGTTGGTAAGAGCTAGTCGAGATTTCTGTATCCGTGCTGAGATTTCGTCACACACCAGACCACAAGGGCTGATGAGACTTCCAAGATAAGTGAAGCGGTCGACACCCTCAACTACTTCACTCCCTATCATTAGTTCGGGTTTCGATGCAACCCAATCCTGAAGCAACATTTTGCATTTCGAGGGGGAGAATCGCATGCCGAACATGCTTGCATTGTTGCTTAGAGTGGTCAGAAGACTCTGCATTTTGTCAGCGTCTTCACCAAATAGAACTATGTCATCGGCGTATTCTAAGTCAACAAGTGAATCTCCTGGTAGAAGTTCAACCCCTGGAAATTTAGATGAGGAAAGTGTTATCTCTAAAAGTACGTCAACGACAAAGTTAAACAAGAATGGAGATAGTGGGCAGCCCTGACAAACACTACTTGAGGTAATCAATTCTGATGACAGTTCGCCATAAGCTCTCACTCTACCAGTTGTGTTCGAGTAGAGAGCCTTTATAAGGTTAATGTACTTCTTTGGTACTCCTTTCAGTGACAAACACTGCCATAGAACCTCACGATCAACAGAGTCGAATGCCGCCTTAAGGTCGATAAATACTACCATTGTGGGGCGTCTGAATGTGTGTCTGTGTACTAGAACCTGACGTAGTGTGAATATCTGGTCTGTATAACCACGTTCAGGTCGAAAACCAGCCTGGTTTTCTCTAATCTGCTCTTCACGATCTTTAGTTAGGCGTCGAAGTATTATTGAAGCTAACATTTTAGACACTATATTAGTCAAACTGATTCCTCTGTGATTGTCACAAGAGGATTTTGTCCTTTCTTATAGGCTGGCACAATCAGTGATTGAGACCAGTCAGATGGGATTACGTCCAGTTCCCAAATCCTACCTAAGACCTCGGTTAATCTCATTGCTAATACTAGACCACCATCCTTAAAAATCTCAGGAGTGAACCTGTCAGGGCATGCTGCACTACCTCGCTTCAGATTTCCTATGGCTTTTTCAACTTCGTAAAGAGTCGGAGGACCTACACTAACTTGCCATTCAGGTTGACTGGAGATCGTTTAAAACCGAAGTGTGGCCAAAGGCCAGTTAAACTGACCCCTAAAGTGTTCTGCCCATCGATCCAATCTCCTGGATTGAGAATGTATAATATGTCCATCTTTCTCTGAGATTATTCCTAATACCGGTTTCCTTAACAAGTCTGAACAATTGCCTGCTATTTCCGCCGCCTCTTCCAACTCTCTGGCTTTCGCTACCCACCACTGTTCGCGATCATTGCGTAGGCTTCTTGTCAGCTTGCGCTTAAGCTGACTCCGCTCTTCATTATGTTCAGATCCAGATGGAATTAGTTTTCGAGCATCTATCAGTGCGGTTGATGCTGCTGAGATCCAGTGTTGCTCCCTAACCTTACGGTTTACCGTACTAGCAGATATCACTGCTGTTTCCACAGGTTTTCGGATATGATTCCATGCTGCCTCGGGGTGGGCTTCACCTACATGGCTGCCTGACTGTTTTTCTAGTTGTTCCTGAAATATACTCTCAGCTTGACTATCATTAAATAGGACCTTAAGAGGTTTCCTTGCAGCGTCTTTCTTACGTCCAGTAAGACGCAAGCAAATGCGCGCTCGTACTAGAGCATGATCTGAATCTAGGCATGTGCTCCAGAATGAGCGACAGTCTTCTATCGAGCCCCTCCATCGGTGGCTGATAGCGGTGTGATCTATTTGGGTACAACGTTGGATCGAATTATGGGGTCACCATGTTAAAAGATGTTTTTCAGTCAGTCAGTCAGCTACAACGTAGGACCAGGCACATATGTGCATCGGTTCAGGTTGCCATACCGCATCAGCACAAGATGAACACCGGATTCACAGCAGTGGTTAGGTCAAACGTGGTAATATATAAGAGAAAGATTGCATATAGAGATATAGTACAAGAAGAAATAATTGGTTCGTAGAAAGAAAGAATGAAGTGATTTTAATCTCTTAGTTTAAGGGAAGACAGGGAGTGTATACACCGACGCCATTGTGATCGATTCTGAGCCATGTCACCAAGAGTCTCCAAGCATTGGTTACGATAATCACGCGGACCCCAACCAAGTAGTCTGCATCTGCCAACATGGCTCAGACTAGAAGTTAGTGTCTTCAAGCACTGATGCCACGTTTTGGTTTGGCCGCCCCTAACTTTCTTCCAACCATCTCCAATACCGGATAGCATTGCACGTCGTGGTAGTCGGTGTTCAGGCATACGTAACACGTGGCCCAACCATCTCAGTCGATGAAGATTCATAGCCTTATCAACTGATTTACCATCATTCCCTAATACCCTGCGTCTAACCTCACTATTACTTACCCTGTGATCCCAGCAGACGCCAGCAATATTCCTAAGGCACCTGTGGTCAAATACTAGTAGCTTACGGGTGTCTTCTACTCTTAATGGCCATGTTTCGCTGCCGTAAGGTTAAACAGAACGAACGGCCGCGCAGTATACCCGTCCTTTTATTGATAGACGGATATCTCGCCTTCGCCACAGGTGACGAAAGTTGGCAAAAGCCAAACGAGCTTTTCGAATCCGTGCTGAGATTTCGTCAGACACCAACCCATTAGGGCTGATCAGACTTCCAAGATAAGTGAAGTTGCCAACGCGTTCGACTACTTCACTCCCTATCCTTAGTTCAGGTGTTGACGCAGACCAGTCCTGAAGCAACAACTTGCATTTAGAGGGAGAGAAGCGCATTCTAAACATTCTGGCATTGTTGCTTAGTGCTACCAAAAGACTCTGCGTTTTTGAAAAACATCATCAAAAAGATGTTTTTCCTTATGCTTAAAGTTAGTATTTGCAAGAAACAGGCGGTTATCTGAGCATAGCTGCAACAGACGGTCGCCATTATCTGTTCTTTGAGCCACGGTGCTATAAGATCCACCCACGTGTCTTTCCCTATCGCATAGTTTACCTACTTGAGCATTAAAGTCACCGGCCACTATTACTACATCCGAGCGCCTAGCTTTTCGAAGGAGGTCGGAGAGCTTTCTGTAAAACTCATCTTTTACATCATCTGAGCTGCAGTCAGTGGGAGAGTAGGCAGAGATGACGAAGAGGCAACGACGGATGTCGCTATCTTTTCGGATCCTTACTGTTCCGTTCAGTCGGACAGCGCACAAACGACTGTCTACTGGGATCCACTCTAAGAGAGCTAGTTCTGCCCTAGGACTCAATGCTATACCTACGCGTAGTTTAGAGCGTGGTTTCAGGATACCAGGAATAACGTTCCGCATACTCGAATCGTTTGCCCTAGCGGTGCGAGGTGATAAAGAGACGTGAGGAGGGTTAGTCGTGGAAATAAGAGAGATGTATTAGGAGGTGTAGGAAGGATTTGAATGTGACCAACTTGGTCTCGTGTGCCGTTACGGGTATGACAGCTGATGTCACTTCCCGGCTGCCCACACCGTGGAAGGGTATTTCTCGAGGAACCTGAAAAGGAAGTCGGATTAATGTTGGCCTTAACGACCTGGGAACCTGACCGCAGAGCCCAAGGGACAGCTGCTTGAAGCCGGTCGCGCACGGTCTTTTCGTGGAAGGTTTTTAATGTGTTAGCTCCGTTCTTCAAAGGGCCTTACCGCCGGAGACGGAAATCCATGAGGTAAGGTGAGGTGTGACATTTTTAGGGTCGACCTTTTCTAACCCCACCCCTCCTTGTGGGAAGGCAGCATCGCTGCGGATGCTGGTTGTCTGAGGGAAACACCTTACTGCTGTCACACCCGTCTACAGTCAGCAGTACGACTTCGACCTTGAGTTGCTGCTTTTAGTCTTACCGTTCTCTAATCGACCTGCCTGGCATGGTAGAACCTACAGGAACATATGTTCCAGCCAATATAGCTCGGTTGGGTCATCACGATAGGCAAGCCCGACCACCGCGTCAAGGTAGCAGCTTCGGTCGGGACTCTCTGTGTTTGATCATCGTTGTCTCCGAAGGATTGCTGACATCCAGTGGCAACATCAGTTTAGTAATGCAGAGGTTCGGCATCGTGTGTTCGGACAGAGACGATAATTCAATTCGTGTCAACATCTTGAAACGTCGACTTCGGTGGTTTGGACATGTTCTACGAATGTCGTCACAGAGAGTTCCACATCGTGCATTATTTGTCGACTCTGGGACTGGTTGGAAGAAGCGGAGAGGTGGTCAGTATATGACATGGTGTCGTGTTATGAAAGAAAGCTGCAAAGGACTGGCTTCTGTCGGTCCTTCACGACTCCCTGGTTGGGGTCCGAGAGATGATGGAACACAGTGGCTAGAGACGTTATCAGATATAGCTCAGAACAGAAGCCAGTGGCGATCCTGCTGTAACCTTCTTTTACTTTCTTCATAAAACGTGGTTGTATATTCCTTAACCGAAAGATTTCTTCTGGTTGTACCTTTCCGTTTCCTCCATTATTATTATTACACTATCTTACACTAATATGTGGTCGTTATTGTTCTTTTTTTTACTATACGCACTTTACCTTCTTTGTTCTCTTCCCATTCTTATTGTTTTGTGTGGCGCACATATATTTGGTGCCCCCCTTGTACTAATATTTATGTGTTCAAATAAATTAATTAATTAAAGCATTTGGGTTTAAGGACCACAAACGCTTTTACACAATAATACAAACTCATCACGTTTCTGTTTGAATATTCGATGTAACAATTCCATGTGATAAGGACTTAGTGCAATAGTTTATATAAATCCAGTTTTTGCAGATTTAGTATCTCCTGTCACTAATATGAATATCTTCAGAAAATATTTCAGGTTCAAATGTCAAAAGAAAACTGAGTTAAGAAATATTTCGATTGTAAGTATACTTAGAAAGTATGTCTTAAAAATTAGCATTATCTAGTTAGAATGTGTTGCTAGGGTATAAACATTTCAATATAATGATATCAATGTTTCCGAATATGCGTAAACCACATTGGAGTTACAACTTAGTTTCACTAGTGACTTTAGTATTTCTCCATTTTCTCTGGAAGTCAGTATCATCTCAAAGATTTGTGGGGTGATTATTAGCTTTCAGTATGATATCTAATATCGTATTACTGCAGAAAATTATAATAAATACAGTCATTTTGAGATACTGAGATTTCTATCTCTTATAAAATATCCTTATCTTATTGACTAAATCATCCATGATGAGACTAAATGGTTACCTGCCCATCTAGCTTAAAATGAGCCTCCTTTTACGATGTTTTGTCTTTTTTTTAAATTCCTGTTGTCATACCTTCACCCTATCAACATTCTTAGAGTGTTTACTTTTACAGAAGAATAGCTTTCCGTTGGCATATGTTCTCTGTGTATAGCGTGGATTGATCCTACTCTGTTTTTGATGCTCATAATAAAATACTTGCCATTTCAAATTTGTGAACAAAGTTACTAAATATGAAAAAGTTACGAGTTTGTCACTTTTTAATTCAGGGGCTTGCTTTGTTTTCATTTATAAGCAGGTCATAGACGGTTATTTTTATGAAACAATTTATACCACTCTAGTGCAAATAAATACTTAGTTAGTAACTACATAATAATCAGTGAGTGAGTGGACAAAGTTGACGTCGCAAAAGTAAGTCTATTTTTTATATACCTGGAAAAATTTTGTTGGCTTGTGTATCATTTGTTTACGACCCGTTGTATTCTCCTTTAAAGCATAAGTGTTTCCGTAATGTAAATTAAGTGTCATATTTTATTCAGCTGGCATTTTCCAAGTTTTGCAGTTGGGATCAGAGCTTTATTATATATAAACCTCAGTTTATTAATCCGGTGCCTTTGGATTTTATAGGTATTTGGTCCTTCCTATGGTTGATTGCGTTTTGCTTACTTTGCAACCGCTGGCAAAATACAGAACAAGATTTTCTCACTCAGAACGACGTTTCACCTAATGGACCGCGGACTGCTATTGCATTCAGTTTTTTCAGTATGGTTATATTAGTAAGTTTCGTTAAGCTTACTTAAACTTTTATTGGCTGTAGGTTAGCTCAGTTGTAACAGCTTTGATTCGGATGTTGACTAATATAGCTGTTCTATTATTGAGGCTCAGTTTTGACTAGATAATTAGCTTGTTGATTTCTCGTCCACCTTAAAGAAAACATGGACTATTCGGATTGTATTTGTATATAAATATTAAGACGGCAGGATAAGATTCCGTTAACCGGAAAATTTTGTAGTAGTGTTTCATTAAAAGGTGTAGCGAAGAAAAACATAAATCTTTTGAATGCTGTACTTTGTATGCTAATAGTTGGATTACAGCTTATGGCAAAGTGTCATCAAACTTGTGAACCTCAAGTCAGGATTGCACAATAACCCAATTCTCTCGTAAAGGTCCTCCTAGGAATCTCATTTTACTCGTCTGACTTTTCTGAAGTAGATCTAAGGAGGGAGTCGATGATGTAGTTAGAATACGCAGATAAGCCAGTCATGTCTAGTGAAGACGACAAAATATATCCTGATTGTCTTGCAGTGCTATCCGGTATTGGAGATGGTTGGAAGAAAGTTAGGGGCGGCCAAACCAAAACGTGGCATCAGTGCTTGAAGACACTAACTTCTAGTCTGAGCCATGCTGGTAGATGCAGACTACTTGGTTGGGGTCCGCGTGACTTTCGTAACCAATGGTTGGAGACTCTTGGTGACACGGCTCAGAATCGATCACAATGGCGTCGGTGTATACACTCCCTGTCTTCCCTTAAACTAAGAGATTAAAATCACTTCATTCTTTCTTTCTACGAACCAATTCTTTCTTCTTGTACTATATCTCTATATGCAATCTTTCTCTTATATATTACCACGTTTGACCTAACCACTGCTGTGAATCCGGTGTTCATCTTGTGCTGATGCGGTATGGCAACCTGAACCGATGCACATATGTGCCTGGTCCTACGTTGTAGCTGACTGACTGATTGTCTTGAACTACAATGCAAACGTGTTTAACATGTATTTCACATCCCCGAAATACAAAATTTTGCTTTAATACCAATCTGCATTGCTGTCTAAATTGTTAATAGGAATTGAAGTACCTGAATACGTTCACTACTTTGTTTGAAAGTCCCGTCAGCCCTAGTGTATTTTTGGTATCTGATGAAACCTTGATATAGATTCAGAGATCTCACTCGGCTTTTGCAAACGTACGTTACTTGTGATGTATGCTAGATATCTGTTTACCAACCAAAAGACAAGTATACTCCACAGCAGTCAGCTCTGTTTTACTGTGTGACCGTGTTTCGTGTGTTTTTGATGATTTGTTAAAATTTCCTATTGTTAAAATCAATGGATAGAATGCTAGTCGATAGACGAATACAATGATATATGGTTTAGTAATGAATTCTCACTGGAACAAATGGTTGATTTGAGATTCTAAATGATGTGAAATTAAAATCACGACCACTAGGCAGATGAATGGGTTTTCTCGCGTACACCAAATAAACATGATATAACTTTATAGGCAATTAGAAGGAATTATCTTTTAGGTCATTCATTATTTATTATTATTTTATTATTTAAACACATCAACATTGGTACAAGGAGGCACCAAATACATGCGCCACATAAATCATTCGATTTGTGTGAGGGCTGGGATACTGTACAGATGCCCAAACCGAAGTGGGTGGTTTCCTTAATAGGTCACGCCCGCAGCTTTTGACCTGAAGGGCTGATCCATAAAGGAGTGGAGCAACGTCAGGAGATGCAGTCCCATGGTAGTCGGTGACCAGCGACTGGTCCATACGCCATTTGTTCATTCAGGATACTGGAGCCCATGTGCACCATTCTTCAGTCAATTAATACCTGTCTGTTAGACCTACTTTTCAGATTTCGCATCACATACTATAAGACGTGGAGTTTAAGAAGAGAATGTATTCGTAAGTTACTAGTATTTGGTCACAAATCCCTTCTGAGTGTATGTTGTAACTACTGGACGAACAGTGCTGATGTTAGACTCAGGGTACTTTATATGTATGAAAAATTGGTACATATATCAACTGAGATTGTTGGAACGTGTACTGCATATGGTCACCCACCGTCTACCTCGACACGCGATGGCTGGTGTAGGAGTAGGTTGGAAGAAGACTATGTCAGCCAAACTAAAATATGGAATCAGTTCGTGAAGTCATTGACTGTTTAACGAAGCCATGTACGTATGTATGGACTGTTTAGTTGAGGTCATCGCGATTATCTTAACTAATGGTTAAACTTTGGATAACATGGTTTGGAATCGTTCATAATAACAGGTGCATTCACTCCATATCTTTCTTGGAATGCTAAGTTTCCTGTCCATCTTAAAAAAAATTTCCACCAATTCATATTTTCTCAAATTACATAACTTACAGCTAAGATTTTCTACTACCACGTATACTGTTGCTATTGATACTATGGCTGTCGCATATACTGCAGCGTCTATGCTGCTCATAACAAACAGATAATCATTTATGAGGCAAAACATCTTAGTCATTCTATAGTTGCTTCAAATATTTTTTGTGAAATTCAATTAAACCTAAAAAGTTTAGAATTCCACCATTTTCATGCTAACTTTTTGTTGAAATATGTGAAAAAATTATAAACCAGTTGTGTGGTGCTTTTGTGACTAATTTTATCGGGGAAAAGTGATAACTCTGTTAACTGAATAACACTAAGTTTATGACTAGTTGTTATAACTACTCTTTAGCCTCTAATTGCTGGCTAAACTTATTTTAATAAGTTCTTGGAATTTATGTATATTGGTCACCACCCATCCCAATTCAAATGGTGAACTTGTCATCAGCAATTTTGGACCTTTGACACGATCTGGCGTATAGCGTTCAAACTTTTGATCAGTATATTACATTAGATTTGTTGAATAGCATTTCTAAAAACTAACCAATTCGTAATGCAGCCCAAGCCATCACATAATTTCAGTACATTCCGTAAATCAAGGCGAATCCGAATTCATTTTGTTTTATTCACCCATAGTTTTCCAAATGTGATAGTGAAGTGTAGGCTGATAACGTGCCGTCTATTCAGCTTAGTACATCCCTGGATTTTTTAATGAGTTAGACATTCATTTTCATAAAGAATTTTGCACTACATAAATCAAATGACTCCACTTACAAAATACAACAAAGTAAACAGCTAACGTGTTTGTTGTTTGTGCTTTCTCCAGTGCTTTCGTCGCGTACTCTTTACAGCTACTCTTCTTTTTCCGAACTACCCGCAGGCTTTGTACATAGTTGATCGAGATTAATTTGAGTTACTTATGAGACGCTAATCTTATGTTATGGCCGCTTACCACGTTTCTACATCGAACTCGGCTCTGAGCAATCCTTTCCAGTTGTTTCCAATCACTTCCCTCTTTTGATTTGTGCATCCAATTCCGACGCAGTGTGTTTCCCGGTCTTCCTCTTTTCCGTTTAGCTTAAGGATTCCAAGTTCATTTAATCATAGACCTACTGATGGAAATAATGTTCTCGTCGACTGAATTCTCGGGCATTGATCTCCTTCTAAGAGGTCCACCTATCGACTTAGAATACGCAGATGACATAGTCCTGTTTGTTGAAGACGCTGATAAAGTGCAGTCTTTTGGCAACACTAAACAACAATGCCAGGATTTTTGGGATGTGTTTCTCTCTCGCTAAATGTAAATTGTTGCTTCACGACTGGTCTGCGTCAACACCTGAACTAAGGATAGGGAGTGAAGTGGTCGAACACGTCGACAACTTCACTTATCTTGGAAGTGTGATCAGCCCCAATGCGTTAGTGTCTGGAGAAATCTCAGCACGGATTCAGAAAGCTCTTTTGGCTTTCGCCAACTTACGCCACCTATGGGGTTGGCGAAATATCCATCTATCAGTTAAGGGACGAGTATACTACGCAGCAGTTCGTTCTGTTTTACTTTGTGGCTGCGAAACGTGACTATTAAGAGTAGAGGATACTCGTAAGTTACTAGTATTTGACCACAGATGCCTTAGAAATATTGCCAGCATCTGTTGGGATCACCGGTTAAGCAATAGTGAGGTTATATGCAGGATATTAGTGAATGATTGTAAGTCAGTTAATGAGGTTGTGAATCTTCATTGACTGGGATGGTTGGGCTACGTAGTACACATGCCCAACCACCGACTACCACGACGCGAAATGCTGACTAGGGTTGGAGACAGATGGAAGGTTAGGGGCGGCCAAACCAAAACATGGCATCGGTCGATAGAGTCACTAACTTCTAGGTTGAGTCATGTTGGTAGATACAGACTACTTGGTTGGTGTCTGCGTGACTATCGTAACCAATGGTTGGAGACTCTGGGTAACATGGCTCAGAATCGTAGCATCGCAATCACCATTAAAGTAACTGCTTCCATGTTTTAAGTGTTCATCTTGTTGTGCTAATGAGGTGTGGCAACTTGGACCGATGCATATATGGGCCTGGTTTTACTTAGTAGCTGACTGACTGATTCCAAGTTATCGCTTGCCTCGTGATGTAGTTTGATGATTACCTCAGTGTGCATCCTATCCACTTCCAACATCTTTTCCTAATTTCCTCTTGAGCTGGAAGTTGGTTCCTCCTCTCCCACAATGGGCTGTTGTTGGTGGTATCCGGTCAACGGATATTCAGTATCTTACGTAGACAATTGTTTATAAATAATTGTATCATTTTGATGATGGTTGTATCAGTTCTCCAAGTTTCAGCTTCGTACAGTAGAACTGTCTTGACGTTCGTACTGAAGATTCTGAGTTTGATATTGGTTGCCAGTTGTTTCGAGTTCCATGTGTTCTTCAGTCGTGGGAATGCTCCGCTTGCTTTACCAATCCATGCTTTCATATCTGCATCAGATCCCCCTTGTTTATCAATAACGCTCCCAGGTATGTTAAAAGTTTCCACATCTTCCAGAGCATCTCCATCAATTGTGGTTTGGCTGGTGCTCGCTGTGTTATATTTCAGTATCCTCTTGCCTTGTAGATGTTGAGACTTA